AGTTTCATAGAAGAAGCAGAGGAAACAATATATTTCAGAGTATCTCCAAATGCAGCTTTCCCTCCCAACTGTTCACAAATTGATCCAGACCACCTCTTTGAGAACAGGTTACACACTACAGAGGAATGCATAACTTGCCCATGAACTGCTGCATATTTTGTCTTGTGTTTACATTTTTCCAAAGGGGAAAAAAAAAAGGACTTTTTTTTTCCAGATAAAGATATTTTCTGCTTTTGATTGATGAAATTAGTCTGCATATCCTTGGAGGCTGCCAACAAGTTTACACTAGGAACTGGAATGAATCCATCAATTCATTTCATGTGGGTTCCATCAGATGGCAAAAACCATCACATAGTCCCATAATGCTGGTCTTTAAATCACTGAGGTATGAGGTGACCTGTAACACTCCCGGCCCTCTGGGCAACACCTTGATGCATAGGGACATTTTGACTGTTTCCAGCAGTCATTCCTATGAGTGGCAATTATATTTATGTGCCTTTGCTCTTGGGAGAAAAAATAGAAGACTGTCTGTGAGACTTGCATGTGGCATGCTCAGAGCAGCTCAAGAACTTCTGACATATTGAGCTCAAAGCCTCACACACCCCAGTAACAACTTTGGTGATTAAGGTTTGGTTACAAACCAGTTGCAGAGATTGGCCCTAACAGAATTTAATGAAAGTGATTCAGGTTTGAACACTACTTCAGAGCCCCAGCTTCTTGATTTTTGATCAAATGTGTACTCACGTGTTAATATTTTGGCTGCATCCATCTCTAATTAGCTCGACCAAACAGTATGTGAGAGCTCATGGTGTATTTCACTGAAGAAGAGACTCTGGTCCCCTTTGCCATTTTTATCTTCCTTGTTCCCTTTCTTGTAGCAAATATTTCTGGAATGAGTTTGCGAATCATTGAATCAGGACCTGCCTGCAGTATGTGCAAACAGTGCTGAGAACCAAAGATCAGTGATCACTGACCCTTCCTCCTGCCATCATCTTAGTTTGGCACAAAACCACTGCATTTATAGGAAATATTTGTTTCTTGGACCACCATATGGTTGAAGAAAGGTTTATACCCCAGGGGTTCTGTATTAGATTCCAGCAGGTTACTTCATTAAATGAGCATATCAAATTTGATTGGAAGTTCTCATCAGCTTTCTGTTCCATTTAATTTTATTTTTATACAGATGAAGAAATTACTGTTACACCCATACCCACTGACAAGCCAACTACATTACTTCACATCTACTTTATAACCACATATAATTACATAACCTCTTGGTTTATTTTCTTCCAGAACTCATGGCTCCTCATAGAATCTGTTCTGTCTGAACTAAGAGGCAGATTTTGGCCTAAAAGACAGTTTTCAAGACATTGACATGGTTTGGGGTTTTCCTATATTGAATATTCTTCATTTATTAACCACAATTTGATTCAAGCACAGTAAGAGCTTCACTGATACAGTCTGGAGAGGTTGTGTTAACAAAAGGAAGGCAAACCCAGCATCAAAATACTCTGCATAAACCTCTTTATCATGAGAGATCTTCCATCATTTCAGCCCCATGCTATAAAATCTCTTTTAGCACAGTGTTCCCTCCACTTTGTTCCTCTTTAATTACAGGCACCATGACCACTTTCTCACCTACACTTTCCAATCAGAATTCCTCCTCAAACCCTCCTGTTCTTCACTGACTTCACGAATACAGCAGACAGGGCTGCAAAGTATTCCCACCTCGAGGCAGTGTGAGGGCTTCTTTGGATAAGAATGAGGCTGGTGGATTACCTTCATGTCAAAGCACATAGCTGGGTAGCTAAAAATATACAGAATAAAAATTGGCATCTGGAAGTTTTTGAAGGGCTATAGTTTCATGCCTGTATAAACTCACTGAAATCAATTAAGGCTGGAGCATAACCACTGTGGAATCGTCCCTAAGATTGTTTTCAATGCTCATCCCAAGTTACATTCTTAAACATATTGACAGACCACAGAGTAAATTTGCTATAATGTATCACAATAACCCTAAATAATCTGGCATAAACATGCTCTTTCATTCAAACCAAGAAATGCTATGCACTCCTTAGGTGCCAGGGAAGGCACCAGGAAGAGCAGTCCCTGGTCTCCTCATCGGTCCCTGGTCTGGAAGAATTTTCATATATAATTTTATCAATTTTAAAAGCAATGGTTGTCCCAAAGTCCTTCCTGCCATCAGTTTTATTTATGTAAGTGACTAGAGCCTGATAAAGAAAAGCTGCAATTCCAGGCTCCTTAATTCTTATTTGCTTAGAGTAATGTAGTTGCATACTGCAGAGTGCATGGAAACAGACAACATACTAGGGAACCCTATTTTATGTCAAAAAATACTTCAGGTGCCACATGGCTGCTCCTGGTAAACTGATAGAACTGGAGCAGTTGTCTGCAGACCACGACATCCACTGCAGATAGGATCCACCCTCACCCTGGATGGATGGATGGATGGATGGATGGATGGATGGATGGATGGATGGATGGATGGATGGACGGATGGATGTTCTTCACCTCAGCCTGTGGCAGACCACACCAAGGTCACACATGCCAAAATCCCACACCAAATCAGGCTTTGCAGGGATTTAACATTCCAGAGCTGAGGAATTACCTGTGCCAGAAGAACACCGCCATACGAAAGCAACACCAGCATATAATTGAAATAATTTATTTACCACTAAAGCACCACAAAAACAGACATACAATGTGTTAAAATACAGAGTAATCAATCACCAAAGTACAACACAGCTGTCCTTTAAGTTCCTTTCTTTTTTCTCCTTTAAACCATGCCAACCATACAGTTGTATTGATGCTCAACAGATAAGAAGTGCTGTCCTACCCCACCCAGCTAAGTGCTATGATTCCCCCTCAGCCCCAGTCAGCCCCCTGGGTCTGATCTCTCCAGATGCTGAACATTTCCCATCAGTTCTCAGGGACTTTGCTTAGACAGTGGCAATCACCTCACCAAAATAAGTCCCCGTTGCACAAAGCCCTGGAGCTGTTGCAGACCCATCTAAAGATCCCGTGAGGGGTATTTACATCAGACCTGAGAGGTGCTAAGGACTCACATGACCCCACTGTGCAGTGGGGAATTTCACCCATGAGCTCTGTAGATTGTAGGATCAGGCCTAACACCTTTGGTAATTAAAGGGAAATACATGCCTAATGAACAGGAAAAAGAAACACTGTAGGAGCTTTAAAATAGAGAATTTCAAATATTATCAGTGCATTTTGAAGAACACTAGAAATTTTTTAAAAATCGATCGTGGGGCAATGAGTTACAGAAATAGTGTTTTATGCTTAGAGAAAAACTCCAAGTCCAAATTTTCAGCTGCATCCAGCACACAGTGAGTAGAGCTGGACAACTGTGCTATCTCCCATTCCACTTTTTCGAAACTGGTTTTGAGCTGCATTCCTGTACCAGAGAACTGCAAAAATATTTTTAAGTTTTGTAAAATGTGCTCACTCTTGTCTTCTCTCCTGTCCAACAAAAATACAGTTCTCATACTGAACCTGATAAAACTAATTTTGCTGTTGTTATACAACAAAATCCAGAGTATGTATTACCCTGAGGAGTTTCACTGAGTTCAGTGCATCTTTTCACTGGAGTTAGTCTGGCTCAAGCAAGTATTAGCAGGACAGATTGTTCAACTCAGCTCACTAAATAAATCAGAAGTCTAGCATACCTTCTCCTCCTGAGCCAGTGGGTGGGACTGGATCATCTCTGGGGCTATGTTCCCATCTAGGCAATGAGCACAGGCTCCACAGAAGTCCTGAGGAGCTGCCTGTGCAAGCCACCATGGCACCTCAGCTTTGCACCAGTATTCTGCTGAAGCCAAAGAAACTGCACTTTTAAAAGTGGAGCTGACAACACCAAGCTCAGGAGTGTCCTCCCAACACTGCTCAGGGCAATGGCAAAAAATGTCCCTCTCACCCAAGCAGAATGCTCGCATTGCAGGTTTCCAGCTTTGCTCTGCAGAAGCATTCATCACGTGAAATGAAACGATTGTGCCTTCTTCAGAATTCTTTTTATTCTTATTTAGGTTGGGGCTTTTTAAAAATGAAGTATGCGATGAGATTTTTTTTCTTTTTACTCCCTCTACAATATGAAAACGTGTAACAACAACAAAACCCTAGGAACCCCCACGTTCCCTTCTCGATTTTTTAAAATAAGCTTTAACGTGAACTCGCAAAAACCAAGGGTCTGACCCTGCCAATCCTTACACATACCCCAACAGCCTGAAGGTCCCTGCTGTGCCACTGCAGAAGCCAAAGGCAATCCTCTGTTACCTGCAGCACAGCAGGGACAGCCCCACGGAGGAGCTGCAGGACCGATGTGCCAGGCTGATGCACCCAAGGGCGCTCCACTCCCACCCCACGCGGGCATCGCTGCCTACAGCCAGGCAATATATAAATATATATATATATACACACATATATATGTGCATATATATATATATATATATATATAGGTGCTGCCTACAGCCTCCTGCACAGTGCTGGATGCCATTCTCTGCAAGGGTTTGCCTGGCCCCGGCCAGGCTGGGACATCTCTTCTCTCGACACCTCGCTCCCTGCCCATCTGTTTGGACGTGTCTACAGCCGAAAGAAAACGGGAATGCCCGCAAATCCGCGGATCCAGGCGTTATGAACGGGGACAACTGGAGGAGGAGGAGGAGGGGAGGAGCAGGGGGGGAGATTGGTTTAATCCATCCTTTTTTTTTATGAAACAGAAAAACAAATGGAGTCAGGTAGCTTATGTCATAATGATGAACAATATACAAAGCACATGTATAGCAAATTATTATAAAACATGTATTTGTAGTGCAAGTCAAAATATAGGGACTCTACTCATACTGGCCAGCTAGAGGGAAACACATGATTCTGAGTGATCAAAAAGAGCCCCAAATTCAAATTCAAAGTCATGAGAGCTGACAGTATTACAGAGTACAAAAATATGGTGAAAATTTACACATTACACATAAAGTACGTAATTTTTTAATAGTTTACAAATAGAGATCTACAGATATGTTTCCAATTAAGCTGGCTTTTACTACCCACCTATTGTAATACTCTAGGTATGGTTACATATACCAAAAGAACAAAAAAAATTCCCATAGCATAGCTATACAGCAACATATTAAGGTCTGAAGATTAGACCAGTACATGTTAAATATTTCACTGGTTTACTAAACTGACATTTTAAATCATTTACAGTAAAAAAAAAAATCTTATAGACTTGTCTTTGAGACTGAAACAGAGTGTCCTTTATTAGTAAATTATTCAGTATTTAAAACAAGGGTTTGAGACCTTACAAGAAGTCTCTCTAGGCAGATGGCATGAAAAATAAGGTATTTTAAAGGCAGAGTTTGTCAGTAATGTAATAACTGGTTTCTATTTTAATTGAACTAAACTAACCATTACTTTTCTGATTCTTTTGAGCTTGTGTTCCTTTAGGCTTTATCTGTATTTCTGGCAGCTTATTTGGTCTCCACTTTGTCCACATTGGCTGGTTTTCATTTCTCCAATGGTGATACAGAAATGTTCATTTGATAGTTTTTACACACAAATAAATAATGCACTGTTAACTCTATAGCTAAGAGGAATGGGTAGGATGCCTATTGCATAACAATACAGAGAGATCAAGTAAGGCATGGGACAGATACAGCAACTCCACTTCATGGGATTTTCCTGTTTTTTTCCTTTCACATAGTAACACTAACAAATTTCTTCCAGTGTTTATTTTTTAAAAGGTTTCTTTTTTTCTTTAACTTTGCTTCTTGTCTATCTCACACTATGTGTAGGTGAAATGTAGGAAAAAGCCTTCAATGTTTTGCTTCAGATGCCAGTTTAAAAAGAAAAACAAAACAAACTTTCAAACAGTTCAGACTAGTACCGCTTTTTTTTTTCTTCTTTTTTTCTTTTAAAAAAATGAACCTGGGTTTTTTATTTTTCTTCCTTTCCTTCTCATTCTCTCTTTCCTTTTTTTCCTTGATTATCTTTTTTTTTTTTTTTTTGTTATAAACACACGTCATGCTGTTTCAGGGATATCCTTTAGCTGCACTTGCAAGACTTTACAATCATGTTGGACAGCTGTTCGATTTTGGGTGTTTTTCCAATGTAGTAGAGGATGGTGAGGGGTTCCAAATCCTGGGATACACAGCACGGAGAGGCTGAAGCTTCTGGATTTATGGTGTTATACAAGCTGAGTACCTAGAAGGAGAAACCAAAAAAGACAGATTAAGGCAGCTACCTCTAATGAGTGAATTGTTTTCTGCATCAGTTCCTCCCACAGCACCTGAGAAAATGCCCACTGAAAGTGGTATGAAGATTCCTGGATTTTAGGGAGTTTTTTATGCTTTTCCACTTCAATCTGGTGTTCACAATATGCCTGAATTTCCTAAGGTTTTGTCCATTCAGGTAAGCCTCAAAGCAGGTACATACTTGGAGTCTGGCTCTGAAGTGTGGCCCTTTGATCAAAAGGCACACCATATTTATGAGTAGAGAGGAAATGGAAAGGTTTTTATCTGCTTCTTCAGGTTGCCATTTGCTGTTTACAGGATTTTGGACTGACAAGTGACCAAAGAGAAAAGAGACCCCTTCAGAGCATAGGCACTCCTCTTCTTTGACCCTCTGGCTACGTTAATCAAGTCTATCAATGCCACCCTGCATGCACCAGGACTCAAGGTGCAGTTACTCCTGCTGAGAGCCACATGCATGGAGTTATCACCTTCTGTCACCCTGGATTCCTATGCATGGTTCTCTGCAAGGGAAGTATGTAGGGTTAGCCACTGATGATGCATAGGTGCTCCTGAGAATGCCATTAATGCCTCAGCCAAACACCAAGTGACCTTTTCCTAGAACTTCTACACAACACTTGCAGCTTAGAGAGACAGAAGATCTGTTCAGGACAGCAACACTAACTACTTTATTAGGCAACTTCTGGCTCCTCAGGCAATTATCCAAACCACATATTTGTGACCATGACAGTTACTCTTCCTCTTTCCCTTAAAAACAAGTGCAGTTCCAAAATGTGTGCACCATTACTCCACACCAGCACGGAAACACACTCACCTTATTTACACCTCTGCCTGCTGACACTGCTAACAGCACAATGTCACAGACACTGACTACTATAAAGGGGTCTGAAAACTCAGGAAGAACATGGTATCGTGGTTTTATCAACCATGAGGAACTCAAGCTGTCCCTTGGACACGGTGAGTTGTCCCTACTGGCTGACACTGACCTGTCATTTTAAGGGAGGCTTGAAAAAGGAGAGACATCATTCTTAGTAAGGACTCAAGGGTGCAATTCTTACTTTATGACAACTATGATGCAAATGTCTGTCTCCTGCATTTATTGTCTAGACATCCTCAGTGACAGCTGAGAGGAAATTAGCACTTCACAGCAGAATACTACTCATCCTGAGGCAGTTGGCTAAAATACCACATCTAAGCCCTAAAATAAAAAGTCCCATCTCAGACAACAATGATTTGGCTCTTCAACATCCGATACACAAAGTCCCTCCTTCCCATATAAATTTTTAAAGTATAAGAAAGAATATGTCTTTTGAAGTAAAAGAAAGACATCTATCAGTAGATTTTCATGAAATTCAGGATGGCAGGTCATAAAAGTATGTGATGACCAGGTGGGATAACTCAGCCCTTTTGTTACTCTGGAAGTGCCTCTCTCTGTGTCTTTGCTGACCAAACTCATTGTGCCATCTTCCACTCATGTCTATAATAAAAGGCCTTTTCCAAGCCACCTCCAAAGGCTACATACTCACAAAAAGTATTCAATCCAACTGTGTGTTCATATCAATGAACATTAAAAAAAAAAAGTAAATCTCTGGGCCAATGCAATTTTCCTGCTTCAAAACTAGCTTCAGGCCATGTGTGAGTTCCTCTGTAGGGCCATATTTCATCATCCTTAGTTACTAACTCTGGACACTGGTGCTGATGTCAGTCCCACAAACACAGCTCAACCTACAGTTATAAAAGAGAAGCTGAAGATTAGCAAATCCATTACTTACTCTGCTGTGCTGAGTATCTGAGCTCCATAAATACGGGCAGGCTCCTGCACAGAAATTAGCATGGTATCCTTTAGGTTCATGAATCCATTTCCAGCCAAGATCCCTCTTGAAGTCAATATAAAGTGGACGCAGACAGCAATTATCCTGCACATTCCTGGGAAATAAAATACAAACACATTGGTCAGAACAAAGACAACACTGGGAATAAAAATAATCCAGTTGCTTGCTTCCTGAATGATCCTTTACAGGCCGGCAAGTCTGAGTCACAAAAATTCTCAACTAAATCAAATCAATAGTAGCTTATTCAGTAACTGAAATTACAGTTATTACAGGATGCTTAGACATGGCAGGACTTGCTCACACAGACAAAGCTAATGGCTTCCCTGTAGGACTACTCAAGTGTTTTTCTCCAGATCCTACAAGGGAGACTCTGGGTAGGTGAACAAAGTGAAGATGATAATTTGGCTCTAACTATGGGGCTAATGCATCTGGGAATCATCCCAGATGGAACTGAGCTTCTGCTGTCTAAGGCCACAGCAATCTGCCCCTGTCTCTGTGGGACGGGAGAGCGCCGGGCAGAGACCTGCTGCACGCAGACCCTGGGTCTGAGAAAGAGGGTCTGCATTGGGTACAAATGCCAACTGTAAAGAAACATGATAAACAAGTGCATGACACCTCCCAGGCTGGGAGGAGTGTGTAAGAATACTGGATGTGCAGGCATAGTTACCTAAAACAATAGGCAGCATCTAGAGCACGCTTCTTCCGCCGACTGGGCTGTTGCGACTCAAGTCTGTAGGAGGGTAACAACATTAGCAGAAGATGTGGGGTCTTCCCACTGTATTTTTTCCTATTGGACTTTAAAGCTTTCACATCACCACTGGAATATGTGTAGTCATCAATACCTTCAAAAAATACATTTTGGTGATAAACATTGTGTTGCTTTTTCTTCACAAATTAAATAAACCATCTCTTAAAAAAAAAAAATCTCTCAGAAACCGGGCCATGATGGTGCCAGCTGGGCATGTTTACTGGGGAAGTGGGGGCAAATTTCAACCCAAGATGCCTAAGAAATTCACAGTTTTCATGTTAGCTATTGTATCAACCCTCCCACGTTCACATTTGTTTAATGGCATTTCATTACATTTACCAGAAACGTTTAAACAAGCAACAGAGAAGGTAATTTCTGTCACTGCATCTGTGTGCCTTAGCTTCAGATGCCCCAAGCAGTGATTCTTATGTTGCTTCAGTTAGAGCAGGACTCCCAACTTTCAACAGGCATGTACCTTTTAATACAGTTAAAGCTGCTCTGGATACTTCCCCTTCATTTCCCACTTTTACTTCTATCCCATTAATTTGCTCTATCACATTCACTCCTTTCTGATACTTGTAAATTCCCTGTCTTTCATTGCCAGTTTTTTTAAATCTGCTAATTTTCCCCGTTTTCTAGTCTCTTCCTTTATATGGGTATGGCAAAGACATGGATCAAAGTATTTCTTCTTGAAATGGCAATCCATGGCCTCACATTCTGTATTCTCTTTTAACACTAACTGCCTTACTAGCTTCTTACCATGGCAATAGCACAGACTAGAGACTCAAAGTATTTGCCTTTCATAGGAGTCAAGTTATGCCTTTTGGTAAGATCCTTTAGAAAATTAACCTCCCCAGCCAGATACTACCATCTAAACAGAAAAAGATACACTAATCTTTTCTTAACATATACAATTACAATGACCAAACATGACCATACTAACAGTTTTTTAAATGCACACAATGGCTTTAATCATATGTACAGTACATGTATTTATTTACAGGAAAAAATTCCAATGCAGTGAAACAACGGTTAGAAAAACTTAATACTTGACAAGGAATATAGCCAAATACTTGGACCACAAGTGAACCAAATCATGATACACTTCAATAAATGAAAATTTCATGAACACAACTTAGGTTAAAATTGGTTCTAATATAGCTATAGATTCATATGTGCTGGTGGATGGTTGCTGTAGTACAGTCAATTAAATATAATTTCTCTTTGTGAAACCAAAGTTTAATGGCTTAAAAACACAAGAGAGCTTATATGACCTTGGTATATTTACTCCATATCACCTTGCCTGCTGTCCATAAAGAGCACATATATTCATAACCTTCACTACAGCTTTTTATTTTTTAATGCCCACTCATTCCAATATTTTCAACTAAGTCTGACTCATTATAGTATTAGGATGGAGAACAAAAGGTTTACTTTGAAAATATTGAGTTATTTTCTCATCCAATAGTGGATGGCAAACTTTGCAAGAGTCTTCACTAAATCCAAAACTCTATGTGCAAACTGTGAGCATGCTGCAAACCGTAGCACAGACTCTTAAGGACATCAAAGCTGCATGCATGGAAGGAGACAGCTTTTTTATGCCATCTGATTTTAGAACTGTTCAGGTGATACAGATTTACCCTTGTGATTTAAGTACCATTTCCTACCAGCTGAGAATCATGACTTGCTCAAATGAGCAGGTTTTCAATCAGCTGAATGCCATTTAGGACACAGAAACAGCTTTTTGTTTCCCTCCTCAATTAGTACATACCAAAACATTTTAAAAAGTTGGAGTTTATTTTCTTTCATTACCTGCAAATCTTGCTTCAAGCTCCTCACTTTTATTTGGGATGATGTAATTATTGGAAGGCACAAAGGTACAGCATGGACAATGTAAGCTTATCTTAAATCCAAGATTCCTGTCTGCAAAACATAAAAGTGAGTGTTGTTGGTTTTTACACGTGGAATGACTCTGAAATACTCCTGAGTTAATGGAGGAGCAGCTGGGGCAGGAGTGAAGGCAAAGAGCACTTTTTGTCACCTCTGTGATGGAGCCACTCATGTACAGTCTCAGTGACATCAAAAGACAACCACTCTCCTTCAGCTCTTGTTTTAACTACTTTGCTGTCGATATAGCGCTGTCCTGGTGATGATAACTCTTTAGATTTTAAAACCTGCAAGAAACAAAAAATAAGATTGCCTACAGGTTAACATTTAGCTGATTGCTTTTAAAATGGACTGCTAACATTAGAAAATAGCACAAGAAACTCTGACAGCTGAAACCTCTATGCAGCAGCAGAACATTCGTGCACATTTTCAGAAAGAATCTTCTTTGGGTGTGTAAGGAGAACAATATAAAAACACCCTAATGAAATCAGCTTAGGCTCCCAAGCAAAACACACCATCATATATTCCTTTGTGAGAGAAATCACACAGAAGGAACTGCCCTGAAAATTTATCCTGTAATATAAGAGCTGAAGAGATCCCAGTAATCATCAAAAGAAGCTATTTTACCTTCTTCAGTAATACTTACACTGGCTAGAGCATAAGATGCCAAAGTCCAGGCTGTACAATGTAGTCTGTACACTGAAGATATTACACTGCTCCCTTATAACTAACCTAGGATATTGCCTTATTCATGCTTTTAGCCTTCCCTCTGAATTTCAGGTACTAATCATCCATTTAACAGAAGGCCATGCATGGATTTGTGCAACAGGTGAGGCTGCTTCCATCCAGACTTTGATGCAGGCTGTATTTGTGTATGTGTCAAATGTTTCAGCAAAGCTTCCACTGACCAAGCAATAAAAAATACCTGAACAAAAGAAACCCAGGCCCTGCAGGACCAGCATTTCAAGTGCCCACAGTCGTCCTCATCTCAGGCAAACAATTCAGTGAGTGCCTTCCCACATACAAGCATAGCCTTCTATTATTTACCCTCACTCTAGGACAAAAACAATTGGCCTTTTGGCTGTTGACAGGTTTCTGGTTTTCTGGTTATTACTCTGTTGATAGTTTTGTGATGCAGGGAGCTGGAATGCCATGCAACATTAAGTCAGCTCCAATCAAGACAGCACACGATAACATCACTTTGTAACTTTTGGCATGCCAGCTGTGCGACTTCACATATTGTTTCGGGTTTTTCCATCCTTTAAGCACCCAAGTCCATCTCCAAATGAGTAACTGACAACATCTCATTGTTTCCTCCTATTTTCTCAGCCCAGAACAACCTGATATCTAGCAAGTACTGCTGTAATAAAATCATGGTGAAACCACATAATACATGTAAAGAAAAATATTTCAAAAGAGGTGTGAAACTATGTCATCGTGATAAAATCAGACTTTTTGTAATTAAACAGGCTTGAAAAGCTCAGATTCTGTCCAGCATGTGGAGTCAGCATGTAGAGTCTCCCTATTTATTATCCAGCAAGGCAGTGCTGGATCTCTCTCTCATAGGCCAACAGCATGGCTCTTACAATAACATTTGTCTTATGAAAAGAATAGCAACACGACAAGCTCTTTGTCTTCTTTCTGATCAACACATTTAGCAAAAAGCCATGAGAAGATGTTGGTTCCAGTCCATAAGATTACTAAGGGCCCCTGGTAGGCGATGCTGAGTTCCCCAGTAGAAACTAAGGGCACTCAAACAGTGAACATTGGGACTCCTTTTTATGAGGTAACCTTCAAACAAAGTGTCTGAACAACTGTTTACAGAGAGTCTGGCAGCAGCAAGGGGACTACCATTGCTCAGAAGTGCCAGAGGGATGAGAGAATCAGTAATCAATGCTGGGAAAGTCCCAGAGAAGTACAAATATAACTTTGCCTTCCCTTTGGTCTTTATCAGGTCAAGTGTTTCTGAGGATGTAATGCAGCTGTCATTCTGCAAGGTTGTGTTGGGGCTGGGGAGAGGGGGTGGGGGCTGGGGGGGTGAGGCAAATGGGACACAAGAATTTGGCTCATTTCTCTTCCTTTCTGCACAGTCATATCTTTCCAAAGACTCCAGAAACTGCATACCTCAGTTTTGGCAGTGATGTAAGGACTAAAAGTAAGTAATGTGCCAAAAGCAATCTCCTGATGTTAACTATAATTGGTCTTAGACATATTCTGAAGACACAGCTGTGCCTTGGTATCAAAAATAAATATATTTATCCCACTCTTTATCCCAATTGCTACCAAAAGACAGAGTCAAGTGCTGTCAGTGCATACCTGCAATAAAAGGCATTTGTAAAAGTACAAGAAATCATCACTACATGTATCCAATGGTACAAGGAAAATCCATCACCACTGTTGAGCTGAATGACAAGAAGAGTGTTGGCAGGTTTCTGAAGTGTATGGCACTGTGGGACAGGATGGATAGTGTGGATTAAAAGAGCTGGATATTCCCCATCCTGTGGTACCTACAATACCTGAAAGCAAAGTTTCTCTCCATGTTGTTTATGCAGCATGTTCAGGAAAAAAATTATGAAGAATGAGGTAAAAAGCTACAAAGGATAATTTCCACAATTGACACCATGGGTTAAACAGGCGCTGGCAGTTCTTAAGCAAAAGACTGTTAAGTGAAAAGAGTGTTACACTTAGTGAAATTAACTTCAGTCACCTTCTCTTGGTTTAAATATCTTTGTATTGTTAGGGTGATGTATGATCTTAACAACCTGAGTACTTGTAAGCAAGAATGATATTCTAGACTCACCATTTCCATTTTCCCTTCTTTATCTCTTACATTGTTGCAAGAGTGCAAAGCTAATGGAAGAAAAAAATCCTAGACTAGATCCTCAGAGTCCATTTTCTCCCACAAAGTAATCAATCTGATTAAGTTTCTTTTCCTACACTGCTTTCTATTTCCATCCACACTGAAGCAGTTGCACTCTATATGGTGGTAAACAAAGGAGCCTTTTTGTAGGAATCTCTTAGAAATGTTTACAGCTACAATATATTCTTCAAATGAGTCTTCCACAAATTACTACATGAAATAAGCATTTTAGGTTCTCTCTGCCATTTCCCTGCTTTGGTTTGCTTCTTTTTACTTTGCCCTACATTTCTGGTTTTAACCTTCCCCATCAGCAACACACCCTTTCTTCCAATACACCCTCAAGCCTATATCCTCAATGAAAAACTTCTCTTGTATTGTTTCTAATAGTTTCTTCCTACTAGATCAACTAATTTCATTTCAAAAAAGAACAAAAGCATTTTCTGTGCCTTGCAGCTTTTGTGCTTGAAAGCTTGTCTACTTCTTCCAACCCCAATGATTGGTCTTAGAAGAGATATTACCTTCACCTATAAACATTGCCTTGCCTTACCTATAAACACCACCTCACCTTCATGCCCAGCCCATCACAACCACATCAAACACTGTTATCAGAGCTGCTGCTGCACAGCTTGTACCTGCAGGAGCTAAATGAAAGCCTTTGTGCAAAAGTTTTCAGTGCACTCAAAATATTAACAGAAGGCAAGGGGAAAAAAGAAAATCCACAGAAGAGAAAGTCAACTGAATTAAACTTCCCCTTTAATCCTGTCTTACTTCCTTCTGGCACCTTACCCAAACACACCCTCTTGAAGAGGTAGAGTGAGTTTGGTCTGACTACAGGCCATGACGTGGAAGGCTAAGGTTTTCCAGTGGGGGAATCCTGGGCATCACCTACTGCATGCAGAGACACAGATCCCATCATTTGCATGAGCAGGAGACAGAGTTTCCACACAGGCAGCCCCACCTCCCTGGCTGAGGAGGGAACATCCTAACACCCACATGTGCAAACAGCTGGTGATGCATGGCACGGATGGGTGTGAGCAGGCACTCCTTCACACACAACCTAGAGAAGGCTCCAAGCCAACAAACCCGGGTTCTGGACATGAGGATGGCTGTCCAGGGATATCTCCTTACTCGGTCCTGCTTCCAACAGAGTGGTAATGTAGCACTGCCTGTTATAATAAATGATTACACAGGGAACATAACATATATGATCACATGCTGTGGGGATGAGCTGAACGGGAAGAAGTGTTACCAAAAGGTGATTCACCAGACTTCTAGACCAGTATACAGAGTAATTTTCATTCAGTAGCAATGCTCTAAATTCTAAGAACAACTTCAGGTTTTTTCTACCCCATTTCTGTATGTGATTCCTCCCTTTCACAGGAAAACCACCAACTAAAAAATTTCTTAATCTCCTCTTGACCCATATCTTGTACACTGCCTTCTACCTACCTTTTTCTATGCCCACTGCTAACCTACCTCTCATACGCTTTTTGTTTTTTCAATTCTGAGGCTTCTTGAAAACACCTGGTGAAAATATGATCTTACAAATACCCATGAAGAGTCTCTAGACGTCACTTACATGCAGCTACTGCCAGCAGATCAAGGTGAAACAACCACATGAATAAATGAATAATGCAGTTAATTGCAAGAAATGGCTCATGAAGAAGCCAGATGCAAACAAAGCATTGCTCTTGTTTGTACAGCTCCGTATGTTTAGGAAGCCCAGCCGGGGATCTTGGTGATGACAGCACTCACATGCCACCCTCATCAGGACTGCCAGATTTCTGGCATTTTACAAATCCTGTTGAAATCTACTCTTCATTCTGCTCAGTCATCTGGGGGGGAACCTCTGCTTGGCTGGCAGGGGCTGACCTGCCTGTTATCTTGAAAGTGTATCCCAAATCACCATGACCAGGGCATTCAGAAGTGAAAAATTTTAGTTTTGTCACAAACTGGCTTCAGAAGAATAAGGAGTTTCCAGAACATACTGATTTGTAAATTACTTTTGTCACTTGCTATGCTTATTTTTCAGACTAACTGGAAAGCATTAACAGATATCCTTAAAAAATTTAAGTATCAAGTAGCTGAAATCTTCATTAAAATACTGGAGGATGAAACTGTTTATTTATAGGCACACATGTTTATATCCTCAAACAACCATCACACAGTTCTGAGTATAAAAGTAAGGATAAGGATTATCTTAGTCTGTATTTTATAAACTGTGAAGTACACTCAGAACACTACATAATTCATGATAACAAACAAAGCAGAATGCTTGCAAAATTAGCAGAAACATGATTTCCTTAAAGAATGGGGCATATCTGAAGTTGACATGAGCAGAGCAGCAGCAATCGGCATCAGTGTAATTAAACTGGTTCAAAAACAAAGTCTAAAAAAACTCCTAAGCCCAAGACTGTTAGAAGAAAC